TCCTATGTACCGGTACATGTACATGTACCAATACATATACACTGGTATATGCAATGTTTTGCCAGTGTTTAGGCCATGTTTATAAACAAGAACTTCTGGGAATTTATCTTTCTGCAGAAGCCCTATTCTACTCCGTAACCTTCAAATGCCATGCACTTTTCAAGTGATTTCTCTGCCAAGGTCAGGCAGACCCATCATTTTTTATAGTCGTACCCGTACAAACACACAACAGTGTCTCTTGAGTTGGTTTTGGCTGATTTCATTTCATGCACTTTACTAGGTCCTCCGAAAAAAAGCCAGGTAAACTTACCCACTGTAGTAGCTGGTACATGTAAGTCGCACACTGAAAACAGTGCACTGCGCAGGTGAAGCTCTTGATTTTGAACAATATGTCGGGTGGGAGGGGGGATAGCATGACATGCTGGCAACAACGCTGAATAATTGTTGATGGGTTTACATGTACATGTACACAGTTACCCTATCTGCATGTAAGGTACCTTATTTTCATGAATTTGTTGCTGTTTACGTGTGAAGCATACATGTACATGTTCCCGGTAGGTTACAGAGACACATGCAAATGTAGAGTTTTGATGTTTACATTTACCAGTAGCAAGATGATGTTGTTATTTAGAGTCAGGTTCTGTGACTTTTTTGGAGTGGAATAAACTTTGAAGTTGGATAAAATGAATGAGTTGATTGAGTAATGTCACAGGATTACAGCAGATTAATCAGGCTCTTTCCAATTGCATGGTTTTGTTTTGTCATATTTCCAGTAGGCTTACGGTACTGGTACATGTATGTACGGTACATGTACATAGAATTAATGCAAGAATTACATGTAGATCTTTCTGTCCAAAAGCTCAATTTACAGTACACTGAGTGTTGGAGCACTCTTTGTGAGTAGTGCATGCACATGTACATGTACAATTTGGACACAATTCCACAATAATATTTTTTCTTATGAGGAGGCGTTGTATGTGTACTTTCCTACTTTTTACTGCTTTTCCTTTCTCCTCTCTCCTTTTTGTTGGAATTGGGATGAGACTAGGCCCCCCCAAAAAATGCATTGTCACCCTGCAAGGTGACAATTAACAACTATGCAGACAATTTCCTAAATTCCTGAATTGGTGCAGGCATATTGAATAGGCCCAGGTAGCCCTTTCCACAGATAAGGTAACCTTTTGTATGCTGCTTTATTGATACATGTAAGTGTACAACTCAACAACAAATTGCTTTGCCGTACACGTGTCCTATTGTGTTTTCCTTTTTTTTTTTGAGAGCAGCCTAACCCACCGTAAATTTACAGAGAAATTGGCTTTCATTTTCGTGAATTACCACGCCTCCAATTTTTTTTTCCAGATGGATTTGTCAGCAAGACATTGTGCTGGCTTTAGCTTCACTCAGGAAATGAGAACTATAATTGGTTTTTGGTCGCAACTGCACGTGTCTGTTTCCTCCATTTTGGAAGTGTGTGGTGATGTAGATGATATCATTACTCCCATGCCAAGTTTGAAACACTACCCAGTGTTGTGTCCGCTTGGCTTGTTGCGACAGTCATTTCAAGTTTTTTTGTCGGCAGCACGCCTGATCGAGTTCAATAAATTTACTCTTCTCTTGGGGGAAGGACCGGTTCATTGCCAGTGCGTGAACTCAACATTGCCTTGGACTCGAAAGTCCATCCATTGTCTGGTCGGCACATAAAGCGAGTGGCCAGTTGGTGGTCAGTCTGTGCCTGTCCATCGGTCACTAGTGGTCAGTCAACCTACTAGTCTGTCATTTGAGAGTCACACATACATGTACACCAGGATAAGTGGACTCAATGTTAACTTGTGAAGAATGATGTGGCACCAGTATTGAAATTGTGAATGCCATCCGCATTGAGGAAAATGAGGTAAAGGTGTTAACTTTTGTAGTGTATAAACGCAAAAAAATATACATTTTTTAAAACTTTATTTATAAATTCCAATAAAATTCTCTTTACTCCTGGCAGTCCTTCACTTGTTAATTGAACAGTTGTGAATTGTTCACAGTTTCTGTGTAGAAATACATGTACCGGTAGAATATAATAAATTGGAACATTGCTTTTTATAGTGATGTGATTGTGGACTGTGGTCTAAATCCAATTTTGTGGAATTTACGGCAAATTATATGTGGAGCAAAACTTTGCAGAGGACCAGTCACTAGCACTAGCAGTGCAAGTCACATGACAGTTTACATTTAGCTGGTAACCTGTCTCTGCTTAGCAAGATTTTTTGTCTCGGCTTAGCTGTTACACAAAGCATGCCCCATGTTCCTGCCTCATTGTTTTGGTTTTTGCATATTGGGGTTAATCTTCCTGTCATTTGGATCTCAGTGTACTGGTAGTAGGCATTTGTTCCATTAGGCATCTCTTGGATCCCCCAGTTGGTGACCAAGGTCAGACATGCTGTCAAATTGGGCCGTTTTCTTATACTCAACTTCGTCTCCGTCTCCGGCTTCATGTAGGAAACCAATCCCGGATTGTGGGCATGAAGCGATTAACTGATATTGAAGTACTCTAGTGTTTTGCTAATTTTCATCTTACTTGATGTTTTTTGGCAGTATCAGGCTTACTATTGCGCTTACAACCTCAAAGTCAGGAGGTAAAAAAACAGTTGAAGCCCGAGACAGAGCCCAAGTCGAGTATTGGAAAACGGCCTTGATATTGTAATATTTTGACTTGAAAGCACTGCAGTTCTATCAGTTAATTCCAGCTGATTGATTTCAAACATTTTTTCATTCTCGAAAATGCCATCTGGTGTTGGTCAAGTAAATTCTAGTTCTGAATGTTGGGTTCAGTTTTCCTTGGTTCAAGAATCTTTTCTTTCTTTTTTTTTTAAGGTTGGGACAAAACCATGCATACCGGTACATGTACATGTACCCCGGTAGATCTAGCTGTACTTGGTTGCACCAAATTGAACAGGCATATTTCTGTTCGTTATGGCTCTTTGAATTTGTCAATATGAGTACATACGGGTGTATTGGCATTATGCATGCTTCTTTTTTCATAGCCCTTTACCCCTTCAAAAGCCAATTTTTTAGGGAAAGGGGAACCCTTCCCCTTCTAGCGAATGGCTGTAACCCCACCCCTCCATTTGCTATGCACCTGAGCTGATGTGACTTGGTATTGTACCAATTAATGATGTACACTGTGTGGAATTAACTTATGAACTCCTAACTTGATTTGACGTGGACTAGAGAAGTTCCTGCACTGATGTTGAAATTCTGAACTGTCTTTTGTTTTGATGTACATTCATGAACAAATACTGTACATCTGTACAGCTTTCACATAGAGTGATATCAGTTTTGTGGCCGATGAAACCACAGACTTGAATCAAGTCGGACTTATGCCATCCCTTCACTAGCCTGTACACAATGATACAGTCATCGCACTTGGCAGCTTGCATAACTCTTATAAGGCGTCCTCATTTGATAGCCTTTGATAGCCTTTATTTTACAATGTGTGTCAAACGTTACAGCTCCCCTACCAGTTTTGGTAGAGGAACCCATTCACTGTGTACAAACGGCAGATTCATCAAGTTGAGACTTCTGAACTCCCAGTAATAAGTGGACTCAAGAGGGCGCGAAGCAAGTACGCTGCGCAGCCTCCATATCCAAAGCATAAAGCAGAAAACATCATGGAGGATCCATATCCCGACTTGGTCAAGTTTACTGACTGAAACCATGCCTGTTAGATGGTTGCACAAGTTTAACATGTACCATGTAAGAACTGTATTTTCCAGACAAAGCAAAGTGGTGAAGTCCTTGGAAGGGAACATGTCAGTATTTTCATAGCCTGAACCGTATGTCTCAAAGCATTGTTGCCTCTGATGCAGGTTGGAGGTACCGGTACAGTTCTGGTACTTGTATCTCCACTTAAACAAAACAAGAGTATAGAGCAGACCATAGACTGGTCAAAGTGCAAAAAAAGCACTGGGAAAAAAGTTACAGCAAAATCAGTTTTAGAAGTTTTAAGGGGTACTTACACTGTACTTAAGAAATACTGATATCCTAGATGTACATACATGTACCGCGGGGGTATATGTACATGTAGCATTTCCAGTCTCTTGGGGAATATTTTGGAAGCAGTATTACCGTATACTGTATGTATACATGTACATGTATAATCCTCATTTTAATATGTAATTCATTGCGGTTATGTACGGTACTGGTACACGTACGTATAGTTACGGTATTGTCTTCCCTTTACATGCATGTGTTAATGCTATTATGACTACAATAATTGGCGTTTCATTCCTAGGTACAGTATTTTACAGTATCAGAGTTTTAAATTCTATTCATACCTACGCTACAACTGTTGTTTCTGTGATCAGGAGTTTCATCTGAGCATTTCCACACATGTACTAGTGGTTTGGGTCATTTTGTTGTGGTTTTGCGAGGTCACATATGTGTATGTGAGTGTATTGAAGTAAATTGACTTTTTTTCTCCTTCAATTGTGCAAAACTGCCGACTGTGTTTGACTTTGAAAATGGTTCAAAGTGTTACAAACACAGGAAAAGGGCTGGATTGGCCTTTCTTCTTGATTTGGTTTGGGCAAGGCCAAAAGGTAGAGAAGTACATGTACTTGTAAACATGTACATTACAGTATTGTAAGATCACTGTAAAGAAATTTACAACTTACCAAGACAACATCAAGGAGCGAAGCTTTGAATACATTGTATCAGAACATGTGTACACAAGATTGTGCATATAAAATGAAAGTTAAATATCCAAAGCTGTCATACATGTACATGTACAATGTACATGTATGTACCGTACATGTACATGCAGCTCGCATATCCATCATTTCCTTTCAAATCACTGCATTACTGCTCTTTGAAGCAGATCCAACTGTACAATCATCGTCAATCATCCTTGGATGGAATGACATCCTTTACAAAGTTGTGCCAGGTAACTGTCCTTCATTTTGCTGTTGGATCTCGCTCATTTGGTCCGCTCTTTCTTTCTTTTTGTTGCACAGGCCAAACTCCACGATCATCATTGAGATTTCGGGCACCACCACCACGTCCACCAACAACAACAACAGCGTGCCGGAGAAATCCAGCCACGCGACCATGGGGGATAAGATCCCAGAGTTCCAAGAGCCCATCACCTCCTTGACTTTTGAGTGTCACACCCACTGGCAGGACTCCTTCCTGGTGCTGCGCGAGCTCTACGAGCGGCGGGCACTCTGTGACGTGACCTTGGAGGTGGGCACGGCTCAACTCCGCTGCCACCGACTGGTGCTGGCCTGCGGCAGCCCCTACTTCCGTGCCATGCTGACCTCTGAGATGCGGGAGAGCCGCGAGGAGGTCATATCCATCCATGACATCGACGAGACGTCTGTGGAGGCTCTGGTGGCCTTCCTCTACACATCCACCATCCTCCTGACGGTGGACAACGTCCAGAAACTCCTGCGGGCTGCCTCGCTGCTGCAGATTGAAACGGTGGCCAAAGCCTGCTGCGACTTCATGGCCTCACACCTCCATCCTTCCAACTGCCTGGGCGTACGGAGCTTCGCTGAGCTCCATGGCCAGAACGAGCTCCTGAGAGCAGCAGACCTTTACACCTATGACCATTTCAGAGAGGTGGTATCAAGTGAGGAGTTCCCCAGCATAAGCCCTGCTCACCTGTACGACATCATCGCCTCGCCAGACATTCGTATTGAGAATGAGACTCAGGTGTACCAGGCTGTCATGAAGTGGGTGAGGTGCGACCTCCCCAACAGAGTCAGGGACTTGCCCCGCCTTATATCAGCGGTAAGTCCAAAGAAGCGATTTAGTGTGTTGGCCATTTGGTTATCTTACAGGTACACAGAAGCCAGTACTGTGTGAAAAGCACACGCAGTGTCATTTTGAATAGTTTGCATGCAGTCTGCAGTGTAAGCGTCCCCTCTTTGTTATTCATTTGTCCTTGGGAAAAATTATCAAAATGGATTGGTCAATCATGAAATGGTTGTACTATTAAAATGTGCTCGACATTGCTCTTCTAAATTATCAAAATCAAAATGAGCAAACAGTTAGCAGCCAGGAAAGGCAAAGCCGCAGAAATATTGAAAGGATTTTTATTACAGGCCAGATTCTCTAAGTTCTTTTTTCATTCTTTCCAGGGAGAAGCACATGCTGCTCAATTAACGTGCTCCATGAAACCATGTCTAGTGTCACATTAGTTCTTTAAGAGAAGGAAAAGAAATCTATTGCTCTTTCTCCTAGCCTTGGAAAGTTGTCTCAGCCACAATCAGTGGTGTGTGAATCATTCATCATCTCTTCTTGAGAGCTCTCATCAGCCATGAGCGCCATATCAGACTTTGCTTGATTAGATTGACTAATTGGTAGGCACCGTGCTGAGTTTAATTTGCAACATATTGTATGGGGCACCGGTGCAACACGCTTTGTCAGGAGTGCATGACCAACACTATCTGTATGCCCGGAATTATATCATTACCACGAAATTTCATACGTATGCCGGAGAGACAATTTGCACATTGTTTGGACAATGAGAATTCAAGACGGCAATTGGGAGAGAAAGACACACCTGATTGCCCTGTATAAATAGGCAACAAACAGACTAGTAGCACATGTTGTACATGATACCGGGTACATAAGGACTTCACTTATGGAAAGGATTACTCAGTTCCTCAGAACACAAATAGAATAGGGTTGGAATGGAGGCTGAACAGAGGGACCAGATGAAGATGGAAAGATCTCCTCCAGCAAAACAGATGTACATGTTTACACCATGAGTAAGAAAAATTAACTCATTATACACCTGTCACACTTGTCAGAGAAAAGTTTGTGACTGTGGTCCACGGAGGTCCTAAAAATGTAAACATCGCAGTCACTTTTGGGTTTATGCCTTACATTGTTTGAATGCCTGGATGTTTTGCTCCTGTACAGAACCACAAGTGAATTGGATTACCAATGTTTATTTGAAAGCAAGCAAAAAAATCTTACTTTTCAGTTCCAATTGTGTGACAATGCACATTTCCCCCAAAATTCCTTTATTCATTTACATGTACCAGTTAATACCCTGTATGGTACATACCGGGTGCTAAAAAAAAAAATCTTACAAGCAAATCTGTTAAATAATTAAACTCATTAGTTGACTAAGAAATTTCAAGCTTCCTTGAAAAAAACATGTACATGTACCCGTTAAGTGAAAATGAGCATAGAATCACACTGCACTTTATCTGTTTCCTGTGCACATCTGTTTCTAGTTCATCATCTTCCATGCCCTATTGCACAAAGTAGAGACTGATGTATAATGTACATGTACACATGTGCCGTATGAACATGTAAAACTAAATATGGCTTGAACCTCTTCCCAAAGTTGAGTCACAGACCTGTCCATTTTCAAGTAACCAGCTAATGCAGAAGGTATGCACATGTACAGTGTACATCTGAAAATACCTAAATTTTTTTTATGTGGTGTAATTTTATCCTTTGTATATAAGTACAGTACATGTAGATTCAGGTTAACCATTTTTTTGTACAGTAGTTTACATTTTTGTACTTTTTTACATGTACCAGTAGATTCAACCTTTAAAAAAGTAATTTATCGATGCTGGTTTGTTCACTAAAAACATGTTTTTGAAATGAATACATGCTTTACTCATTACTATATATGCATGCACCGGCAGCTTACACTTTCTCGAGAGGGCCATATACTTTTATAGTTGTAAAGGTACTGTATGTAATTGGAAATACAGTACAGTACCTGTTTCCTGTAAGGTTAGTTTACAGACCCGTTATTAAATAAGGATTTTCCAAGCACACTTCCCCTGCTGATTCAGTAACAAAACCTTAGATCTCCGTTTTCTCAATCAAAACATGAAAAATTTATTTTCCAGCTGTCCTCTGATCACACAAAGCAAGGCTATACTCTACAGCTCCCTCCAAAAGTCAAAACAAAGGAAACGCTGTTGATCAGAATTGCATTATCAAACCTAAATGGATACTGGACTCAAGAACAAAGCATTCTTCAAATGCGACAGTGAAAGTTTCTAGTAACCTTTATATGTGTGGTTTGTCAGTAAAGTGATGTTCATGTACCAGTACCTGTGCTAGTCCTCCCCTTTCAGAAACTTTGATGTTCACTGTCTACATGTACGGTACATGGAATTGTATAAGATGTCTGAGCAGAGTACCGTGCAGGGAAGGAGGACCTGGTGTGAAAGTTATGGCAGGGGCTGGAAGCAGTGTGCACTTACGGGAACCACAGGCTAGTGGCTGCAGCCGCTTCCCCTAGATGCGTGCGTTACCCTAAGCCACTGCCAGTCAATGTGGACATCATGGAAGATTAGTCATTAGCATTCATCTTGATGACCTTGAAGCTACCAGTACATGTACATGTGATGGTTTTCTTTATTCAGGGTGTGAGGTTACCACTCTATACTGCATGTAGCTTTCTTTGAAATATAAAATGCTACCGGTGTAAAAGTCAAGGAAGATACCGGTATACGGGTATACTGTACATGTACATTGCATTTACATTCAGTCGACACTTAACCTACATGTACACTAAAAGTAGCACAGTGTGATTTCCATTTTATTCGCAGCTTGTGGGTATGTACGGTACACTGTGCATGTACTTTGTCCAGGAATCTTTTTTTTTTTTGGACTGTGGTTTCTTTCCTTGAATGTTGCCAAGTGAGATTACCTGCTTGATATTTCCTTTTCTCTGTGTGAAAAAAAGGAAGTGGGTTAAGGTAGCCACGCTAATGTCTAAATATAAACTGCCGTTCTGGTTATTTACATGCCTGTGATTTGGAATCGCCTCAGCAGGACATCAAGTTCCCTGTACCCTTTGGGATGCTCATTGTATGTGCACACGTTCTCTTATACATACTGTACATGTATGCTTCTTGCTGGAATCATGTTTTCAAGGAATGCCATTTGTCTTGAGAAAATGCGTCACACAGCAAATCATACGTCATTTGCCAAATTCTGAACTCTGGCCATTGCGTGAAAGCCAAGTTTGCATGGCAGCCTAAAGTTGTTATTCAACACCCAAGGGTCTGATACCAGAACAGCACATGTGGTACAAGTACTTTGTTTCTTGGAGATTCCTCCAGAAATAGGTGTCAGTTGTTACGATGCCATGGGAGGGGGAAGTTTTCTTTGGTTACTTCCAAGGACTGAACAAATTTTGTTCTGAGGAATTCTTAGTGTTTGTTCTCAGTTGGTTTGTACATGGTCATGAGACTCATTAACCTCTAAGCTAACAGGATCTCCCTCCTGTAACTTTAAAAGGATATTGGGAAGAATTTCTGATGTAATAACTCATCTTTTGTGCATCTCAGCGATACTGTCCTGTACCTCGTTTGATGGCTCAGAGCTCCCCCTGTCCAAGCTGAAATAAATTGAAAAAAGAGCACATTTGCCTGATGCGTTGAACTTCATGCACTGATGTCATACATGTACATGTGTGTGCTTGTTTAGGAAAACAAATCAAAACACGAAACCAGAAAAAAATAACGGACCAAAACAAGCAAACAGTCAAACCTTCACTTCCTTAATGGTAGCTATGGTAGTCATTGTTTGTTTTCCTTTTGTTTTTGTTTTTTTTGCACAATGTACATGGTGTGACCAAGTGCATGTAATCCATACAATCTACAACATTCCTAGCATGATGTCAAAACAGCTGCAAAAAATTTTCCATTTGGCACATGTCTAAATTGTGTAACTTGAACATGTACTGGTACAAAACAGTGTGTGTATGTTGGGTCTGCCTCTGAAGTCACATTTGACGTGCTTGATCTCAGTATACTCTTGGGATTTAAGCAAAGTCACTGGATTAAAAAGTAAGGCTTGAGCTTAGCGTCCAGTTGGCACGACATCATCAAAATCTGTGGTACTATAGGGATGGTGCCAACACCCTGAATCAGTCATGTAGTTCTGACTTCTGTTTACCTAGATGCATTGTGGGAAACCAGGTTTGCACTAGTTTGTACAATGAGATACCACGTTGAAGCTTGTTGTAGAATTTGTTGTACAAGTGTGAGCCAAAAGTGTGTGTGAACCAAAAGCATGTTGGAGGAATTTTTGACTGCACTTCTTGGTACAGTGTACACTAAACATGTACAGTACAATGAACATGTGTAGTTGCCATTGTGCTGATTCCCCCCTCCTCAGTCTGCCTCCCCCCCTGGACTTTGAAGTTGTTACATGTACACTGTACATGTACCGGGTAGCTCTAAAATACTGGAGGGGGGTTGGGAACGTTAAACTGTGTCATATTAACCCAAAGATTGAAGTCCTTTCATTTGATTTGAACATGTACGTACATGCACATGAACATGACAAGAAGTTATAACTTATAAGCTGATCCGATGTCAGAGAAAGAAGTCTAGGACACAGACAAAGCAAAGTACATGTACCCTGCACACTGGTGCATAGCCTGCCAGTACATGTACATGTACAAAAAGACACCACATTGCAGGGCACATCAACCAGGGAAGATGTACACTGTGTGCATGCACACATTATTAGCAAGCAGATTATATTCCATTTAAGGGATTTTCCTTAAGTCCTCACAGGAGGACTGTTTTTTGTGCTTCATGACTGTGTTTTCATCAAATCCACTGGCATTGTTATCTGTTTACTGATTCAGACATCATGTTGTAAAACAAACATGCAGTGTATGTACATGTAAATGTACATTGTACTGTACCTGTAAAGTTGACTTCAACTACTGGTATTGTGCAAATGTTGAAGATGTTGTAAATTATTAGGTAACAGGTGCCTTGAGTTTTGGAAAGAAGGCTAGTTATCCCACTTTAAACCCTTTTCCAAGAAGCACTACGGTAGTTGTTCAAGAAACATCTGTTTCTATGGTTAATCTGCTTGTAACAAAAGGTTGAATACCAGGGTAAGCTAACAGCTACACATACATGTACCCTTTCCCCAACTTCAGTTCCTGGTTTTTTAATTCCTGTATGACTTAATATTGTTTGTTGCTATCGTGGCTGTGCATGACCTTTACATTTTCCTGTTTTCCTGTCATTATAAATCATGAAACATTCTCAGGGGCTGTTTGTCTTTTCAACTTTTTTGACCTTTGTCATGACATTGAAAAAAAATTAATAACATTTATTAGAAAAGTACATCCTTAAGGTTAACTTATCTCATAAAACAGTTTTACATAAATGCACTGGATCAGTCAAATCAGTACAGTGCATATGGAATGGGTTCCTTTACCACCAACAAAACACTCCAAACCTTGCATTAACAATCATCATCAGCCTGAATAGTGGCTGTGTCCAAATTAACTGGTTGTGGCTTGGATCAGCATACACGTACATGTACTGGGTACCAGTATGCTTTTGTGTGGATAGATGCATACACATGCACTACCGCTAGCCAGTGGTACTAATACCAGTATTCCGGGCCACAGTGAAATAAAGACAGTGTACATGTACAGTATGTAAGTTTTGAATTTTCAGTAGGATACTACTGTATGTTGTTCTGTTGCTTACTCAAAAGATCGAGCCATTCATGCACGTACATGTACTGTATGGTACCGATACAAAGACACTTCACGTTCCACACACTGGTGCCACACAGTGTGCATGATCAGTTTTCAGTTGAATGTGCACACAAAAGCTGTAGTAGATAACATGCAGTAATTGAACTTCATGGAGGTGCAAACCACAGAAGGGAATAACACACAATGGTTACCAGCCAAAAGTGTCACCTGTCAGCTGGTTTGTGCTTACCACAGAAATCTGCTAAGGGAAGGAAATTTTTGCTTAGCATAAAAACAGGTTACCAGCCAAAACATCTTGCATTCTTTACTCCTTGGGAGTGATCCTTAGCTGAATTTTGGCTTGCATGTGATGCTGTAGGAAGCAATCATTTCAGAGCAATAGCTCTATGAAATCAGGTCCTAAGCATGTGCAGACAAATTAAACAGTACATGGATTGCAAATTTTGCGTTTGTGCCTTTGAGGATGATGATGAAATGGGGAAAAAATGCGGAATTTGTCTGCTGTAATTATGGTTTGAGCCTGTTTGTTTCTATTGCTGTTTTGCTCAGCCACAAAGCCATACATGTACTGTACGTGTACACATACCATAGTGTACTCCATTAAAGATGCTTGCACCTTGTATCCATTGGAAGCCTCGGGGATCAGTTTGAGAGAAAGAAATTTCCCCGGTAGACTGTCCAAGAACAAGTTTCTTGGCTATAAGATTTTGGCATTTAAAAACCCAGCACAATTTGTAAAAAATAAATCTGGTTAATAAAAATTTGCACAGGGTCACTCAAAGAAATCGTGTAAACATTTGATATCTAAAGACTCAAATGGGTTTGGCAACATCTGGCTGTGGAGTTCTGAGCACTGATCTTCTTGGAAGAGTGTGAAGTAATGTTGGTCCCCTGAGGGCCATGTGCACACCATTATTGCAATGTCCAACTGTATGTGATTGATGAGATCATAAGACAACTCCCAGAAAGAAACTCTCTACCAGTACTGCCTGTATAAAGTTCATGGACAGTGGAAGTCTTCTGGCATGGTCCGATCTTGGTGTGACAATACAATCATTCTTGTTTTCCAGTTTCTTCTCTTGCACTTTCCACATGTACCTGGAACTTGTGAGGCTGACTTTGCTGTGGGGGGTGTGTGTGTGACAAAAACACCATGCCATAAACTCGGGGGGTCTAGATTGTCAAGTCTGGGGAACTTACATACAAAAGTGCAGCCATGGGCGTTGTGAGGAAGGGGGCAAGAGGGGTAATTTCCTCCCTCTCCCGCCCCAGAAAAAAAAATGGAAAAGAACAAAAGGGGGAAGGGAAGCGAAAGGGAAAAACAGATGGAAGGAGATGAGAATCATCAACTTGTTTCAGAAACCTTCCAATTGTCCCATTCGCACTGCTAACGGTGTAGTATTTCATGAATATATTCAGATACATGGAACATGTATATCACCTGTACATTTTCTTGACACTGAGGAAGGGTGCAACGTGCACATTCACTTCTTACAGTGTTTATCAAAGTATGTAGGGACTCATGCAAGTTGAAGGAAAGCCTCCAGGCCTGCACGCAAGATGAATAATAAAGGCGGCGTACACAATAGCCGGACATGTAATTCAGTTTAGATTTCCCAGAGGGTTCTTGATCAGATTAAGGGGGTGAATTTCAGTTCAAACTGTCAGGGTAAGAGAGTGTTAAAAACTTCAGCACATGTGGCGTCTAATAAAGGATTTTTTAGACTTTGTTTGTCAACACTGAGAGCATTAAAAATCTATTGGTGAGTGTAAAGTGTCTGAGTTTCAGTGTCATAAATAGGATTCTACTAGTGGGGGGGACACAAGGAGGCACCAGCATCTTAACGAGGGCACCAGCTTTAAGTGGTATGGTTTTTTGGGGGGCAAGTTTTTGTTAGCCATGTTCAATATCCATTCAGCTGGTTTTTGTTTTTTCAGTGGGTGGGGGGCACCAGGAATTTGTGGGAGGGGGACCCCCCTCCCTTGCTGCGCCACCACTCAGTTTTCATACATGTACATGTAGCTCTGCTCTCATAGGACTATCAGTATGAACTTCAACTATGGTTCTTCACAATCCACTCTGAAATTGAGGATTGATGGAAGTTTTTAAAACTTTTGGGAAAGGAGAGCCCAGCTGCTTAATACAGTCATTCACTTACACGTACCGGTACATGTACATGTATGTATTCATGTTTGAAGTCCTCTGCGTGACGTGGACTATTTTCATATTGTGTACCAGCCTGCGCACATTGCTTCTGCACTACACGACATACAACTGTGCATTGTATCCGCCGATTGTGGGAGTTTACATGTAAATGTGTGCACTGGTTCTTGACAAAGTGACGAAATCCATGCCAGATCATTGATGTTATATGTTCATGTACACATGTTGTATGGTACAAGCTTACGTTGTGCGGTGGTGTGCCACTGTTACCGATGCACAGTTATAAGCTTATGGTTTGATGGTGTAAGCGCTCACACACCCAGACCCTACCGGTAATCCTGTAATGCATTTTTAGGGGGGAGAGATGGCTTCAAGCACCCCAACTTCATCTTGGCATCTCCGGTTATTTTTTCTTTTCCCTCGTTTGACAGGTCCGTCTTCCCATGGTTCCCCTCAGCTTCTTGATGGAGGTCGTGGAATCTGAGGAACTGATCAAGAAGTGCCATGGGTGCCGAGACTTTGTGGACGAGGCCAAGAACTACCACCTGTCCGTCAAAGCCCTGCCCCTCAGCCCCAAGCGCATCTTCCGGTCGGAGCGCAGCCAACCCAGGAAGAGCACAGCAGGTGAGGAGGACCTTGGGCTTTTTTTTTTTTAAGTTTGACTTTGCCTCTGGCTGTGAGCATTTTCTCTCTCTCTAGAACCTTTGAAGTCTGGCCTGCATTAAAAAAAAACACATTACACCCACGTTTGGCTTTGTAACTCAGACATGTACCAGTACATGTAATTTAATGTTCCTGAAGTAAAACTTACATGTAGACGTCAGCAAGGAGCAAGAATTATCAAAACAAGGAATATCCTTTTCTTATCTTACAGTCACGGAGCCCATATACTGGTACATGTACCTCCCATACATGCTGGGCACAGTGATTACCATTAGAACCCAAAACATCACAGGGTCACACAAGTCCCCACTACATAACATGGACATGTACTTGGTCTAAATTTTCCAAACAAAAGAAACCACCCAAAGTACTTCCCCAGCCCAGGCACCCTAACACGTTAATAAGATACAATGTACGTGGACTCGTTCATCCACTCCCTCCATCAACAGAAGCTCACTCTTATCAACTGAATGTGCCTACCACATGTAAATGCCATCAGTACCTGTTCTCTGAACAATAAATGATTGGAATTGTTTTCACGTTTTCTATCATTTGACAATTGATGAACACTGTGTTTGTATTGAGTGTACCGGTAGTTTCTTGCACATGCACCATACATGTACAGTATACATGTATCTTGGTTGCATATTCCGCGGCAGCTCAGATTTCTGGTGAGGAGTCAAAGTTGTCATATTGCATCTTGTCCCTCAGTGATAGAGGCATGATGGGTGGAATTTCAAAGCCTCCATGCATAATTTCACAAAAATTCTACCGGTAGTGGGATACTTTCATGTACCAGGGAGGCTAATCAGGGTCCATGCTGAAGACTCCAGGGACTTGTGCCTGGGGTCGAATTTTGATTAACTTGCTCATGGATTTCACCCGTTGCCGGCCCAGGTTGCACGTGTTTGCTCATGCGGGCCCCAATCCCGCCCCAATCCCATCCTACTCACGTGCCTTTGCATGTGCATCGAGTCGCCTGTGTCCTCTCCCTCCAAAGAAAAGAATTCAGGTGGTGAAGCTTGACTAACCATGCGCAACTATCGCCAACCATTACCTGATCACAGGGTCAGCCGTAAAGACTGAGTAGAAATCCCCCTGTTTTTGCCTTTTCAAAAAGCCAAACTTGCAATTTAGCTGGGGTCATTTATCTCCAGGAAACTGCTCCATAAAATGCCAACTTTGAACAGCACTTTAATGCCTTAAATACTGAGGAAGAGTGGTGAATGCGTAGAGCTGCCTATTAAAGTGTTTTTTGAGCGATACAAGCACAGTTTTAGAAGCAATAAAGCATAATGGAACCTGTTCTTCCACCTTCAGATGCACATGTTGTTATTTTCATTTCTTAACGATTTGTAAATTCCCATATGGTACATGTACCTTTACCACATTTCTGATATCATCTATCCCTGAAACCCCCTCCCCCCCAAAAAACACCTTCTTTGAGGGCCACCCTTCAGTAAAAGTTTCATCAGGAATATTAAGGTCACTTATTGTCCAGGAACCAAATACTAAAAACTCAGTATTGCAGCATGCACATGTAAGTATACAAGGTCCAAGCTTTTTAAAAATTGCTTTTTTCTGCTCCTGTTTACGTTCTTCTTGAGACCTTCAGAAAGCCCTCCTTGATATGCCTTGAAGCTTTTAACATTTTGCAGTATTTCAAGTGCACAAAAGTCTCAGTAGTATGGTGCAGTCAATGATTCAAATCCTCCAGCGGATTGCAGAGTCCATGGACATGTATTTATTTATGTACAGTAGGTACCGGTACATGCATTTGTTTTTGAACTGTTTACTGAGTTCTGTGGACTTCATGTTCTTCTACACAGTGACATGCAATATGAAGTGAACGTACATGTACATGTACCTTGTCGTATTGAATATTCCAAGACCTTTGGGGGGCCTTTGTGTAGCTGCTCTTCACAAGGTGCCAATGGCCAGCATTCCAATGTTGGCCTACCCTCTCCCATAATCCCATACAGATTTTTCTCCCTGACTTTGGGATAAACTCCCAGTAATCATGCTGGGGGATCTGGTGGTTTGCTCATTAATAGTGTTTGTAAAAACTTTGAAGGCTCAAGTGTACCGGTACTTTTAAATTGCAACTGGAAATTGTCATTGAGCCAGTTGTACCGGTACAAGAAAGAGTTCTTTTGAAAGTTTCAAATTAGAATTTAATCCTTGTTTGACATATGGTTTGTAAACGAGAGTACCGGTAGGCCCCACATGTAGTGTTGCTTTATCCTTTTTTTTTACTCGCCAACTTTTATCTTGTACAGGTTTTTTTTTTTCAAATTATAGATTATATTTGTGTTTTTTATTGTTTGTTGTATGTTTGCATAAAGGGGTGTTTGTTTGTTTGTTTACATGTTTTTCTGTCTGTTGTTTTCTTTGTTTTGTCTTGGGACTGAATGCCTGTGAGCAAGAGTGATTAGATTCACTTGTTAGTCCCTGTCTGCATTGTTTTAAAATGCAGATAAATCAAATAGTAATAATAATTACCAAAAATGGGTCATTAGGGAGACATTCCCATAAGAATGTGCACAAAATTTTTCCAACTGTACTGTCCCATAATTCAATATTCCCTAATCCGACCTTAACCAAACTTTGCATGTTTTCATTTAGACCCTAATCTGTCATCTCTCAAAATTTTGACTGCAAAATTTGGCCGCCTCCTGGTAGTTGGAGCATTAGGGAAGCATTGTAATGTCTCCCTAATGACATTGAAATCTCTCCCTAATGACATTGAAATCTCTCCCTAATGACCAGTGTCTCCCTAAGGTTGAAGAATTTACCACAAAGTGTTTCCCAAATGACCTCTTTGTGATAATAATGATGCAAGTAAACAATTACCGGTATGATACCGGCGTTTCACAATGGCCAGTCGATTGGCCAGTCACCATGCATGTGTGAAGTCTGTCGACCCAATATGCGTTTGGAAAGTGTCAACAGATTTCGCCCACTGTGATTGGCCAACGCATTTCAAACTCTTGGAGATGCTCTATTGTGAATCGCCTATGTTAACAATAGTCACTGTGGAATAGGGCACATCATATACCAGTATTTTGTGCACTGTGCAATACCATGATGCTACCAGAGAGTCCTATGAGTGTGATATCAGCACAGGGATGGTACAGTTACCTAATCAAACTAATGTGAAACAACACCCAACACCTCACATGCTGTACAAGTTCCCTGTGGCAACCCAAAATTGAAAGCACTCTCAAAAGAATGACCTTTCTCAAATTTTGGGGGACACTTTTTATGTTTTATATTATGTAGCAAAAATACTCGCAACTTATGCAAGTGAATGTATTGCCAGATAATGGAGTCAGTGAGGCAGGTACATGTAGAGGGGTACTGGTTAGGGCAGGAGAAGTTCAAGGGAACTAGCTTGATTGAATCTTTTGTGTCTGGGAGACTGCGATACGGTAATGGCTTTTTAATCCTTGATGGTTATTGTACTGGCATGCAGATGGAACTACATGTAAAGTCGCATTTCTCTGAGTAAAGACTGTATTTCTAGGAGGCTTTACAATGTGTTGGCTCTGTCTACATGCACATACATGTATGTATGTATGTGTACTTACGGACAGAGTGTAGGATTTGCATTTACTGCATTTTTTAAAAGTTGGCTGAGTTTGGTTTGGGATTTACTTTGTGTATCATTCTGTGAACTTGTTTCATTTTTTTACTGCTTTGCTTTTTGCTTTGAGAAAAATCGAGGAAAATGCTGTTCAGTTTTAACTCTAGAATTTGCAGCTCGTGTAATTTGTCTCGCCAAAATCCATGGGCCACAAGACATTCCTGAGTGCTAGTACTATGCACAAGTGAGGTTGATCTGCAGAACGATTATGGCCCTCAAAAACGCACTTTTCCATGGCTTTGCGTAGGACAGGCTGTTTGCAAATTTACCTTCAAAGTTGTGTTTCCTCATCGAAAATGCAGTGCTGAGACCTTATCGAACAAACAACGTTTCATCGAGCAGTGAGGTGACTGCAATCACCGCAGTCACTGTGCAACCATGTACATGTTCAAGAAAACCAGGCTTCAGGTACGAAGCTCTAAAGAAACGGACATTAGACCATACCAGTACCATTATTAAAGGGTGATAGCGAAATGATACATTGTATATTTACATGAGGTAAACTACCAAAGTTTCATAAGGAAACTTTAATTTTAAACCAGTCCAAATTCTCCTTCAGACTGTTAGTCACAGTGACATATCTATTTCATAATGAATTTAGGCTTACTGAAGGCGTGTTGGCAGTTTGTATATTACCCACTCTTCCAGTAGCTCAATCCTTCATACAGTTTTGTTGCACCTGTTTACAGTAGTATTTAGTAGTATTTAAACAAGTTGTATTTTCCAAAGATCGTCAGTCCATCCCTTTTCTGGAAAATAGCAACATTCCTGGTGGTAAGATATTATAGACATGATAGAGTGTCTGACACTATTGTGTACTGTACTTTACTTTACAGTAAGATATTTCAAGATAATTCAACAGTCCCGTTTTTGAAATCTTGCAAATCTATACACTGCTTTTTAATCAATACAACCAGGAAACCTCTCGGCTACAAAAACCAGAGCAGATACAGTAACTTGGAATGAGTGTCATTTTATAACATTTTCCATTTACACAGGTACTCGCAAATATTTATCAGAAATGACACTAAATTTAGGGGAGAAAAAGTGACAGGAGGGCTGTGACAGCTGTTCACAGACTGGATTGACCTGAAATTTGTACAAAGGGGACAATCATTGGGTATTGTACATGTACGTGTAGAATCTTCTCCACAGAGACAGACTTGGCTGTGATCAAAACATCAGGTTCTCAACCTGCCAAATTTGGCCATACACTGTGCATACATGTTCTGGTACTTCACAGCCGGCTATGGTTCATGGTTCGTATCCTTCTACAAATCTACATATCCCCATTTTGTTATTTTTCACATGTTCA